TTTACACATAAGTCCAAAAATCAAACCATATACAACCTTGAAGCAGGACAGTCCCACAATATTCCTTTTCCTATTTCTTCCCTTCATTCACCACCCCTTCTTTTTTAATGACCATCTACCCAAGAGACAGCATAGCAGCAACTGGCATGTAATGACAAGCAGCCCATATTCAGAAGACCAGAATGACAGGCACTCCAAGCATGAAACTACTATTACAAATTATCATCTGCAGTTCAGTTGCTTAGTTCACAGGTATCAGTGTATATAGATAGTAAGGGTGAGAATCTTTCCAATTAACTGCTAGATTCAAAAATCTTGTGGAGATTCTCAGGATCATTGTGTTGCCCATCTTCTAAATATAACTGTATGGCTTGACATTGTCATGTTTCCTAGCTCTTCTCCTTTCCCTCTCTTGATTAGTTAGTCCTCGAGATCCTGCTTTCCCTTTACTTGTATTATACTTTTCTATTTCTATTTCTTCTTTTGAGTTCTTATACTAGGGAAACTATATAATATTTGCACATGTGTGTCTGGTTTATTTCACTTAAGAGTATATCTTCAAGTGGCATCCACTTCAATATAAAGTCTTCGAGATTATCATTCTTAATACTTGAATAATACTCCACTGTGTGAAAATACCACAACTTTTTCAACCATTTCTCATGTGATGGACATTTTGGTTGTTTCCTAGATTTGGCTGTCACAGATTGTCCTGCTATAAACATAGGCACACATACATCCCTATGATATGATGTTTTCAGATCCTCTGGGAAAATTCCCAGTAGAGCAATAGCTGGTTGAAATGGGATTTCCAGTCCAACTTTTCTAAGGAGTCTCCATACTGATTTCCATAATGCTTGCACCAGTTTACGTTCCCACCAGCAGTGAAGAAGGGTTCCTTTTTCCCCACAGCCTCTCCAACATTTGTTGTTGGATAATTTCTTTATGATAGCCATTCATTCTGGGGTGAGATAATATCTCAATGTTGTTTTAATTTGCATTTCATGGATGGCTAGCGATGTGGAGCATTTTTTCATATATTTATACGCTTTTTTAATTTCATCCTCTAAGAAGTGTGTGTTCATCTCGGATGCCCATTTCTGTACTGGGTCTTTAAATTTTGGGCCCTAGTTTTTTTTTAATTCTTTATAAATTCTAGAAAGCAGACTTTTGTGTGAATACTTACTTGTCATGTTTTTTCCAAATTTGTGGGTTGCCTTTTCACTTTGTTGGAAATTTCTTTAGATGTGAAAAATCTTCTCAGTAAGAGCAGTTCCCAGTTGTTAATTGTTTCAACTGTTTCCCAAGCATTTTGATTTCTGTTCATGAAGTCTTCTCCTAGCCCTATGTCTTCAAGAGTTGCTCCTATTTCTCTTTCAGGAGATGTAGTGTTTCTGCTTTAATGTTTAGATCTTTAATCCATTTTGACTTTAGCTTAGTGCATGGAGATAGGCCTGAGTCAAGTTTTAGTTTTCAGCATGAAGAGAGCCAGTTTTTCCAGCACCATTTGTTAAAGAGTCTATCTTACTTCCAGTGAGTACGTTTGGCCCCTTTGTCAAAGATAATGTGGCTGAGTGTGTTTGGAGGGGCTTCAGCATCTTCTAATCTATTCCATTGATCCTCAGGTCTATTTTGTTGCCAGTACCAGGCTGACTTTATCACAGTAGCCTTATAGTATAATTTTAAGTCAGGAATTGTAATTCCTTCTGCTTTGTTTTTATAGCCCAGGATTGCATTCGCTATTCTGTGTCTTTTCTGATTCCAGATAAATTGTAGCAATGATTTCTCTACCTCTGTGAGATAGGCTGGTGGTAGTCTAACAGGGATTTCCTTAAATCTGTACAGCAATTTTGGGAGTATGACCATCTTCACAATGTTAGTTCTTCCCATCCAGGAGCATGGAATATCTCTCCATTTTCTGAAATCCTCTATGATCTCTTTTTTCAGAATACTGTAATTTTCCGTGAAATTTTTTTGACTTCTTTAGTTAGATTAAGTCCAAGGTATTTCATTTTCCTCAGTGCTATTGTAAAAGGTATTGTTTCTATAGTTTCACTCTCAATGTGTTTGTTGTCTGTATAGAGAAATACTGTTGACTTTTGGGTATTGACTTTATTACCTGCTATGCTACTGAATTACTGTATTAATTCTAGTAGCTTCTTGGTGTAATTTTTGGTTCTTCCAAGTAAAGGATCACATCTGCAAATAAGGATAATTTAAATTCTTCTTTACCTAATCT